ACCGAGATTTCAGAGACAGAACTGCTCTGAGCCTTTTTATTAAAAGAAACAGCAATTTTCTCCCAGGCAGAAATCACAATGGTATCAATCATAAAACTGATCAATAAAGCATTGGGTTGCGACTCCTTCTCCCTAGTTTAATTTTGTTATTGAAATAAGAGTTTCTCAGTGCATGGAATTTCCTGAGGATTAATAGCAGAAATCAGCATCGCAACACACCCACCCCTTCTTGCTTCTTACTTGTTTCCAGAAAGTACTCACTGCCTGAACCATAGGAATTTGGATCAACATACTCGCCCGCGGTATGCATGCTTGCACCCAGCTGCCTGTGGTATGCCCATCTGAATCAATCACAGGTGATGCTGAGTAGCAAAAGCTGCCATCTATTTTTTGGGAACACTTCTGGTAGGTTTCTGGGAAAGCTTTCTGAGATAATACTTTTGGAACCCATCAAATCTGACTCATTATAGCACAAGGATGAGCGAAGATGGGCTGCTTGCGTGGGGACTTATGCACCAGGGTCTATACGGGAAAGATTTTTAGTGCACAAATTTCTAAGTGACTTGGGATTGTGAGGCTGATCTGAGGACAACTCGGGCATACGCTCTGCTTTGTTTTACCTTAAACGCTGACATTGTTCAACTAAAACTAGCACTGAGATCCTTTTGTAACTCGTCTTGAAAGTACAACACATTTGGCTAGATAAATCCACAAAGGGTGTTGTCTAAGGGATGCGTTAGGTCCAACTCCCTAGACCCATGACTGAGGTACCCAGGGTCTCTTTTGACACTGACGGCAGTGTTGTCTTCAGAAGTCATTTCTAGACCTAGGCAGGAATTTTTGACAAAACAGTTTTCCTACTGAAGAATGCTGTATTGACAAAGCTGAAGCTGTTTGTGAGAAAATAGCAGTTCTGATACAATTTCCCTTCTCTGGAAATGCCAGGGAGAAAAGGTCCCATATTATCACAGCATCCCATTTCGAGTTTTTTGTTGTTGCTGTTTTTTTAATAGACAAAAAGTTTGACATTGTCAGTTACTGAGGTAAAATCCAAAATACACTGAAGGTCAAAAGCAGGACTTCTGTTAAATTTCCTAAGTGAATTGCTCAGCTGTCAAACGTAGTTATTCCTTGTAAAAATGTTTCAGAATTTGTGTCCAAACCGGTGATAGAAATTTTTTTTACTAAAATCTTGCAAGTTCTTGCAGAAGAAGAACACCATTTCTTGCAGTGTTTTACTCATTTTCTCCTCTGTCTCAGCTCTTTCGCAGCACGGGATCCTAGCATGTAGGTACATAGCATGTATGCTATAGATCCAAGCAAAAGAGGGTCATCAACTTGACATGACAACGAGAAGCAAGCTTTCTTCTCCTATCATACCATGTCTATAGCTGTGACACTCACAACAGAAGTGCTGGAGATGAGTGAAGATTTGTGGCTATTTTCTTTGCAACTTCAAAATCCCTGAAGTCTGAATTTGTTATAATCTGAAGCATGATACAAGGGCTCCTTAGCTGTGGATGTAGGGCTGGGAGGCAGATGAAATGATCTGTCTGCAGACTATGTTAGTTTTCACAGAGCCATGGTCCTAAGAATCCAGATCTGATACTGTCCTTGAACCAGAAAGGTAGTCATCTAATTCCCAGAGTTCATATATTTGTACCCGCAATTGCATTCGGCCACAGAATTGCACGCCAATTTTAGCCTCAGCACTGGGAAGACTGTTTAAAAACAGGGCGCCAAGTTCACCACTTTGATGTCATGAAAACTGTACCTGAGATCATTCCTCCAGCTTCCAAGCTGGTGTCAGCTTAGTGCTTCCTACCAAGCTGGTGTTAGGTTAATGCTTCCTACTCTGATGAGCGTCAGAGCCTCCCTGGCCTGTGCATACTGAGGCCATTTACCACACAGTATTACCCTGCTGAAGCAGGGTGTCACTCCCTGGCCCTGAGAACAAATCTGTCAACACTTAGATTCAGTAGCTTGTTTTCTGGAAAAGTGGAAACAGGAGCTTGCCATTAGGCAAGAATTCGTTCTGTAAAGAGCAATCGGTGTGGATATAGGAGTCAAGAACATTGCCTCGCACAAAAACTAGTCAGTGGGAATTTCCCACTGGTAGCCTCCCTGGGCATGGATCTGGCACCCTGATTCTGAGCCTGTGGAAATCCACAGCAGTCTTGTCTCTTGCTACACTGAGTTTTGGGTTAACCTTTGAACGATGTGTACCTTCGGGTGTGTCAAAGTCCGAATGCTGGAATCTTGCATCTCAGCCATGCAGACACTGTAGTGACCTTGCAAAAATACTGCTCACCCTCCACGATCTTCCTAGCAGATGAGAACGTGGAGCTTGAAACTGCCCCCCACGCCTTGTTTTTCAGCTTGTGAATTTTATTAGCTGTCAACGTGTCAAACTTCCACTTAGCTGGACAGCTGCGTGACCAGCCAGACTCCAAGGCCTGCCACTAAAGTTTAACAGAGCTATCAGCTTTTCACATTGAGGAGATTATGCTATGTGGACAGTTAGGTGCCAGAGAGAATGAATGAGAGCTGGGTAAGCTCACCTTTCCTATGCTAAAGCAAACAGAGATGAGAGGCAGAATGCAGCAAACTGATGGATAGGCTTGGTCTTTTCTTCGGTGCTGGTACAGTGACTAACTCAAAAGGATTCTGGTGCAGGGATGGGTTTTACATGTGATACAGTAATAAAACCTGAGAGCAACATCAGAGTTCTGATTCAGAGACTTTGCACTTGATCTGGGGATTGTCCAGCCCTAGTCATGCAGCAGACAGGAGACACTGAGATCCAGAAGATGGAGGAAGCAGTGAACAAGCACTGAAGAGCAGCGAAGGCTAGTCTTGGGTCTTGTGACTATGGGTCACAAAACATTTTCCACACCTCCTTCTCCCCCTACCCATCCCCCTTTTACCTGTTAACATAACAAGCCTTTTGGGACAAAGTCTGTCTCCAAGTAGATGTTTGCATTGCCCTAAAGCACCCAGAAACCCCAGTCTCAGCTGGCCCTACTGTTATTAGAGCTATCTTTAATCCAAAATGTCTCTTTCGGCCTTACAAACTCTTTTGAGACAGGAATAAGTCTATAAGGTGGTAGGAGATTCCCTGCCTGGGGGCGTGTGTGTGCACGCACGTGTGTGTGTGTGTGTGTGTGTGTGTGTGTGTGTGTGTGTGTGGCTTTTTTTCCTTCACAAGAGCTTGATTGACTAATGTTTGTAGGTCCCGAGAGCCTGTAAAAGATCTGCTCTGATATCCAGAAAATTTTACAAGGGCGGCAGGCTTAAAAGTGGTGGGAAGAAGCTGAGTCTGCCAGGATGTTGGAATGAGAAAGCCATCAGGAATGCGCCTCGGAGAACAGCTGCTACGAGAGTCCTGGCAGGAACCTCCATGCAAGCTGCCTGGGAGCAAGTAGAGGGATTCGGAGATCACAGCCTGAGATGAGGGAAAGGGTCTCTTTATTTATTTAGCTTTTCCTTTCTCTGCTTTCACCTCACTCCCTTCTCCCAGCCTTGTCACCACGAGGTCAGATTGCCTTGGAAAAGAGGGATCCTGCCTCTGGTTTTGCACTCCTTGGCACTTCAGGGCTTTTCCCTTCCTCCCCAGCATGCCCTCATCACTGCTCGGGCAACGCAGGTTTCTCTTACACCATAAAGAGAGGTTACTTAAACTCAGTTCTTCCTCGAAATGCCCTTTTTAGTCCGCTTTCAACAGAAACATCTCTATTGTCTCCATTAGTTTCTTTCTTATGTCCATCTACATAAACAAGAGCAATTAGAAATTGAATATGCAAAATAAAAGTGGGGTTATTCACACGTTCCGACCTTTGGTCGTTTAATCACCTAATTAGCCAATTTCAAGAGAAAGCTGGAGGGAGACGAGAAGGTATCTTACTGCAAGTGCTATGGCTGGCTTAACACCTCTTTGGGAAAGAAGGCTAATGGGAAACATCCTTACTCAGTGAACATCCTAGGTGCGTGCGGGAAGTGCCCATTCCCAGGCAGCTTGGGAAGCAGCGCAACCTTTTGCACTTTTGGTTTCTGAGTGCGCACATCGAGCTCGTTCTCCTGTGCACTGCAGAACAAAAAAAAGCCTGTTTTGCTTCTGAGGGGCTATTCAACTCTAGGCTGTATGCACAGAGACTCCTGTACTTAGCCTGAAACCCAATAGCACTGGCCACACGGAGGATGGACTGCTGAGGTCTCCATTTCGCTTCTTTAACCCAGCACAATCCCCAATCCCTCCCCCTTTCTTTCCCTTTCCCCAAGGGACTCTATTATACCCCCCGATCTGTTCACACTCCTTATCCCTCTGCGTGTTTGCACACACTGCTGACCCAGCCTTTATCTGGAAGACATAAGGGTCTCTGTGTGGAGTTCCCACAAGGGCTATTAATCGTGTAGATGTCAGAGTCCCCCTGCTCCAAACCCTCCCTTCCTGCTCCTCCCCTCTTCTTCCCTCCTCCGGCCCTTGCTGTACTCTCTGGAGATTGGGGGAAAAAAAAGTTTTATAAAAATTCACACACACAACTTGCAAACTTTGCAAAATATGATCTGCTCCCCTGGGCAAAGCTGGTAAATGGTATGATTTCTCCTGAAACACCAAATACAAACATACACACATTGCTCCCTCCTAGGCCAATGGAGGAATTTCCTCAAACAGAACACAGAGCTAAATATCTTGCCTAGCTAGAGACAGTTTGGCTCCAGATGCCGACCCGATGGAAATCTTCCAGCTGGTACTTCTGTAATGGGCCAAATCAGAATGGTACACCTACAAATCCATGGAAACACGAGGAACCTACAGAAACGGACTGGCCTAACTGGCCATACATCTCAGATCCTTAGGAATTTGGCTTCAGAGAAGAGGTACACGCACATTATCGGCCTCATCCCCAGCAGCACCACCTCCTTCCCCATGGTAAACACACATAGAAGCTGTGCCATCAGGCTATCAGGCTGACTCGCCACTCGCTTGCTCTCGTCCTTACCTGAACACGGGCCTCAGTGAGCTTGGTCCTCTGAGCTAGCTCTTCCCGTGTGTAGATGTCTGGGTAGTGGGTTCTCTCAAAGGCCTTCTCCAACTCCTCTAGCTGCTCAGCAGTGAAAGTGGTTCGACTGCGGCGCTGCTTACGCTTCAAAGGCAGGTCTGGTTCAGATTCGACATCAGAGCCTTCATCCAGCCTGTTACCTGCGGTGGGAAAGAAATGGGAAGCGAGGCTTGTCTGGTTAAAAAGCCATAGGGAGAAAGGCCCTTGAAGGAGGAGTTAAGTAACCCAGTGAAGGAATCGCAATTCTATGCTGATAGTATCCATCAGAACAAATACTCTAACTACAATAAATCTACCAGATTTTTATTGCTGTTGGGTTTTTTTTTCCACATTGTAAAAAGACAATCTAACAAAATCAGAACCGTTTGCAGGAAAGGGCTGGGTCAACAAGGTCCATCGTTCAAAATGTTGTAGTGAAAAAAATCTCACAACTGTTGACTTATCTTATTTCAAGAAATTTCCATTTTTTGTTTGAAATGACTTTGAGCTTGTAAGTGTCAGACAATTGGAAATTAGATGTTGAAAAGATGGAGAAATTGAAATGAGCCCATAAAAATGTCAAGACAAGATGCTTTGACTTGTGCATGCTAACTTCCTCTTGTGTTTTTGAAGTATCAGTGTCTGAGTTATTAATTTTTAACCACTTTAGGAAGAAAAGAAAGAAATATTAGTAACTTTTACAGCTGGGGAAAACATTTCCTGCTCAGCTTCACCTCCAGGTTGGCCTGCCCGCAGGATACAATTCCTCTTCTCCTCGACTCTCTATTTCCCAAATTTCAGTAGGAGTTTTGCAGAAGGCCAGACTCCAACAGCATTATGATGCCATGGAGGTCCTCTGCCAAGGCCTGCTGGGCACCTGCCTCCTCTGCCTTCACTTGCCCTGAACCTCTGCCTTTCCCGCCTCCCTGCCTTGAACACCCTGGCCCACAACCACCCCTTCCACAGGCCCTTTGCTTCCTTCCTCCTCCGTAGCCAACAGCCCTGACAGCATGGGGGGAAAAAAAAAAAGATGCTGCTTTTGTTCGAGCACTATTAAGCTGGACTTGCTGACAGTTCGTTGTTTGCAAGGTGCAGGAGCTAATATCAAACAACAAACCACTAGTTCATGGAAACAGAGAAGGAAGAACGTGATATATGCAGCCTTTCAGCTACGTGAGCGATCAGGCCTCCATTTCTTTTTCCTTCTCTCTCATGAAGATAGACTCATTAAATGCATACTCATGATTTACACAAAGCTTGATTACTACCTTTCAGAATAAATGCACAGACATAAGACTGGGGGCCAGAATCTGCTTAAACATAGCGCTCACCGAGAAATTTGTTTCTTTCAGATAAACTTTTACTCGCTTATTGTTAGAAGCAAGACTTACACACGCTCATCTTTAAAATAAATTCTCTAAAGTTAGCAATATTGCTTTACAGTCCTCTCTTTTTATTCAGCTCCTATGCAATAGTCTGAACTTGCAACCAAAATCTGCCTTTTTTTTTCTCCCTTCAGAGCTGAAAATGGCAGCTGTGACTTCCTCAACAGCTGCTGAAGAGCAGCAGCAGTCTGAGGAGTATGAGGCAAATCTCCCATTGGAGCTCATTTGTTTATACTGAGGTGGTCATAAAATGCCACTGCATTCAGCGTGGGGCAATATAAAATGCATTTGTGTCTTGGAGCTTCAGAGGGAGGATGCAGTGTCAGAACGGAGCTGCTAACTACAGTTGTGGTGGAGTCAAACTTTGCTGCGCTGGAACGGATGGCTTCTTCAGGGGCCAAAGGAATCACCTTAGGAGGTTTTCCTATGCTTCTAATTCCAGCTACGGCTTACCAATGCACAGGGTCTTCATACACACCAATCTTCTCAGAAAAAGAGCCATTTATTTCTCACTGTTGACTTCAGCGGACCAGCATCTGTCCCACATTAAGACAGCTTTATTGTCCTGTCCATAGGAGAAATTTGGCACTAAACTAGTTTTCGGGTTACTTGCATTTTCAGTGGAAAGTCTGGTGTAAAAAGAACATCTGCACTCTAGAATAACAGCCTTGCACATCTGTGTCCCAGATGATTCTGGTCAGGTAGATGCACATCTGGACTATGCAGTACCATACTACGCAAAAGCACATCTGGAAGCCTATTGCATACAGTCCATTTCATGATGTTAACTGCCTAAGTCACTGGCTGTTACTGGTTTAGTTAGGCAGTATCTTTTTTGGAAATACCCAATATGAAAAAAATGAGGACAGAGGTGAGTTTAGGTCTAGAATACAAGAGGCCTAGGGTGAGGAGGGGGAAGCAAAATATACTAAATTAAAATGTGATTTATCTCTGCAGCAGAACATGCTTCTGTACAGTTAACACACAGGCTTAAGTACCAACTTTCAGTCTTCTTCCAGCCTGTGAGCTCAGCACAGGAACTGTCAACTGCCGCACGTTTCATGCCTAGTGCAACAAAGCCCCAGTCTGGTTGGCAAGCATCATGGTGACAGCAACGTCAAAATGACTTTTTAAAACCTAGCTCTCCTGTCCACTTAATTGTAATGCTGTAACATCTACAGCTCATCTACTCGCTTGGCGTAACTGCCTGCATAGCATACAGCAAGGCTGCAACCCAGCATCTCCCCAGGTAGGGAAGAGTCCAGAAGAGAATCTGTAACACATTTCATCTCCCACACCTCACTTTGCCTTTTTTTGTGTGTGTGTGCATACTGTAAAGGTTGGAAGAAAAACAGTCAAATTTCCTCCAATAGCTTTATGCAGCTCATTAAGAATCTCTGGCTTAGCCGCAGGATTTTGGGAGAGGACAATGAATTGTCACTAGTAACAATCTATCCTATTCACAGCAACACCGGCCACCGTGCTGGCCGTCACTCTGGCTGCAGGGCTAAGAGGGGAGAGAGCTGAGCCTTGCAACATCGAGTTACGTAATATTTTATCTGCACGTTTCAAACAGCTCCAGACTGGCATTATCTCCATTTTACAACTGGGAAAAGCGTGGCATGGACGGCAGAAGTGACCGCCTACAGTCACCCTGTGAGTCAGGAGCAAAGCTGGGAAAAGAACCCACAACTCCTCGTGCCAAGTCCGAGGCTCGAACAACACAACTACAAAGATAAAACCAAGAGAGCAAGAAAAATCCCAGGGCATGTCTGGAACCAGCTGGTCTTAGTACGATGCAGCTGCTGCTGTCAGACACAGATTTATTAAATAATACAGACAGGCTTTTGGCTGAGATCGATGGCAGTATGAGCCTATTATCTAATGTGTCCTCTATTTTCAGGGGACAGACTCTGCCTAAAGATGGACTCCATCTAACAGGTCTTCTCCATTCCTAAGCAGTTGAAACCTACCAGACAAGCCGCTGCTATACTCTCATAAAGTTTCTGCACAATGAAAAGCTTTACAAAGCTGCAGGAATAACTTAAGGAAATTCCCTTGCTAGACCAGTCCAGGGCTCTTCATAGAAGACACTTTTTTGCCACATGCCCCTGCAGACACAACCGAATGAGAAAGAGCAGAATGATGCAAGAAAAGTTGTTTTTGCAGCACTGGGATCCTGCTAGGAGGAGTCTCATAAAATACCCAGCCTGGCTATGGGGGGGGGGCTGCTAAGAGACACTTGATCCGGGTGCAACCTACAGACAGGTCTTGTATCTGTACGGCCACGCAATTTCTGTTGAGCATAGAGCCTTACCAATAAAAAGGTGCTTGGTGTCACTGCAGTTCAGTTGCCTTTCCTAGAGACACAGGCTATACTGGCATATTCACTTCTGTACATCAGCATTCCT